TGTCTCCGCACACTTCAGACATTCCTATCCCAGGTAATCACCATAGATACTTGTATTCTGCAATGATTAACCCCAGCAAGCACATTCCACTGAGTGCACGCTCCTCTCACTCAGAATCCTGAGTAGGGTGGAAGTGTTCTTAATGTGCGGTGTACCACTTGAAGAATCTTATTTTCCTACCATAATACCCTCCTCCTCCTCCGGCAACCGGTTCGCACGGAACGGCTACTCCACCAAAATTCGCATATCCGTCACAAAACCACGGTGCAGATGTTGGTAAGGAAACCTGAATTTTTCATCAGTAATTTATTACTTACCTGCCTGTATTCAGTAAGACTCACGGAAATTCCAGCTTTTTCGTGAAGATGGGACTTGCCCTTGGATGGTGTTTCTTCTGGTAAGCCGCCAGCAGGGACTGAAACTTGCACAACGATTTTTCAGTGTTTTTACTAACTGTAGGAAATACTCCACATTCACAGGAACTAATAAGCCCAGACCATACTGTACATAAGGCACAGTCCATGCTGAATTCATGGGTGAAGTCCAGCCCACCAATGGGTTTTTCTTGTTGGCACAGCTCCCCTGTCTGCTCTCAGTCTCAGAGAATTTTCCTCTTTGAGACTTGCACCAGTGAGGAAATAGTTAAGATCTTAGGATTCTTATTTGATAGTCGCACACTTCTTTTAGTCAAGGCATAGTCCATGTGGATCATATGGGCGGAGTCAGGCCCACTGGTGGTTTGCTCTCTCTCGTTAGGGTGTGCGCCAATAAGAAACCTGCAATGGTGGACAGGACACAGTCCTGATGTATGATGAATGTGTTTTCAGGAAATATCCTAGGGGTGTTTGGTAGCGCTTTCGATTAACAAACACTTCAGGATGCGCCACAGATTTTACTTCCACTCTGTATCGCAGTAACATTTGAACGAAAAGATGGCAAATCAAGTAACGTGCGGGTAAGGGTAGAGGGACCTAGCTGAGCATTCTTGGTTACCACATACACATTTTACCTATTCCCGGACTTCGGAGACAACGGCTTTCGGCGATTCGCGGCGCGCTTAAGTCAGTTTCGCGCGCGGAGTCAGAGTGGAGGAGGCTTCTCTGAACATCCGCCTGAGAAGCCTTCCTTGCGGGTGCTTCATTGGGATTTCAGCAAGATCAAGGGAACCGACTGCCTCTTGCAAAACAGTTTTGGGGCAAATTAAGTCTCGATGGGAGAAACGCGGAACACCACGACGAAAAAATTCGACATACACTGACCTGGTCACGTCTGTCTCAAAGCCTTAGCAAGAGGCGTATGCCACGCCGCTTTCGTCATTCTTTGCCGATCGTAACTGATCCAGGCATGAAAGTGCAGCAATTTAATTTGACTAGGCCTATTGGATTAAAGGCCACAGCTCGCGGCCCGCAAAATTGCGGGGAGACGGAAATCATATAACGAACAAAAGTGTATTGTATCTTAAGATTAGCGAAGAGAGAAAATCAGCCAGAAAAAGCAGTACACGGATATTAATAGAGAGAGACAAGAAACATAGTGGCTATAGCTAGTAAGCTAAAGCAGCACGGTAGGGGTCAGCCATGGCAACCTAAGGGGTGTCCTAGAAACCTATTAGGTCAGAATATATAAAGAAGGAAATATCTAATAAAAGACCAATTTTCACATTTGAAAGTAGCGCAGAGACCTCTCCCCCCTTTCCCCCCCCAAAAATCATCTGTTTGGATCGTCCGACACATTTGAGGAGATCATAGCCTTATTTTGTGCGGAATCTGTGCCTTTAGGCGGTGGTTTGCATGCCCGCTTTTTTTGTTAGTTCACTTGACTGACAGGTATGAACATTGGTCAGACTTGTAAATTCCTGTGAAGCTACATACAATTTTGCTCAAGTGAACACTTCTGTCACAGGAAATGACAGTCATAATACAATAGAGATCTAACAAATGAACAAAAGTAACCAAGCTTCGGTGAGTACCACTTGTTCCCCCCCACCTAGCTGATCTCCACCGAAAGACTGATTATCGAGACACCATACACATGAGAGATTGCAGGCAAATGGACAGAAAGTGGACAAATGACAAGGATGTAAAGTCCCCATGCCTGTTTTTGTACAGAACTTAATGAATAGAAAAGATAAAGAGTACTGACTTGTTGGGCATGCCTTCTATGTAATCTGTTGGATAGGCTCCACCTCCACCACCAGCGACGATGATATAGACAGAGTTAACAGACACTGTAGTGGCACCACCACCTCCAGCTCCGTACACCAGAGATGTCTGAAATAAATGTCTTCGCTTTATTTGAGAGTTGTTGGCCGCTGAGAAGAGACAACATATACGATGGAAATATACAACACTCTCTTACTTTCTGATCGTTCCAAGATAAAAGGACATGGTAAATGCAAGATCCCAAGTTGCGACAGCGTGGCGAAAGCGGTGTTTCTAGCGGTGTTGCTTTTTTTGCTTTTTGCCTTGCCTTTCCCTATTCCACTCTGTTATGATGGACTATGTGAAGTTTTCTCACAGTCAACGCGTGGCCGTTCCTTGGTTTCTGCTTGAACATGAGACCTTAACTGCCCTGCTGACATGACGACTCATTTACCACCCCACTCTCACTCCTGATTCCTTTTTCCAAACATCATCTCTTAACAACTCACGTTCAGCCGTTGATCTGCGTCCTGACCATGGCACAAACTCTCCAGGACCTGCTTTTGCTGAAAGAAACATGTCAGTCACCACCACAATTGTTTTTTCCTGAGTAACTTACCATGGAGCTCTTGACATGCCTGTCGCAAGGTGATTCTCCTTTCTGTCCAACAGACACCTGCAGTTTGGTACCAATCACCAGCTTTATGTCGACTGTCACACAACCGCCACCGTTCTCGACTGCTTGAAAGGGAAACGAACCGCCCTCAGCACCACAGGCAGTCAACCTTCAAAGCAGTTGAAGGCATCCCTCCACATTTGTGTCTATGGGCGCGAGCCGAGCATTTGCCCGCAAGTGGTTGTCCCCTTCTCCTTGCTGTTTCGGAGAGGCAGGAGCCCACCAGTGGAGAAAGCACAACGGTAGGCTTGACTCCGCCCACACGATCGTCGTGGCTTGTGAGCAGAGAAAGCAAATCTCATTCGCAACATCTTTCACACTAAAGCAAGGGAACAGGCATTGACAATTCATGTCCCGTGCAGTCCCGGTTAGGAGGGGCACTCTGCACGTTCGCTAGTTCCTTTTCTGTAGTGAGTTCATGTGGTAACTAATAGGTCTCCTTTTGGTGTAGAGTTATTAGTCTCTGATGAAAGTGTGCTGGTACAAGTAAACAACTTTAGTACGAGAGTTATACACGTTTTCACGTGAGGTGGCCTTTGTCACACTTTGCTGAGGTGGTATTTGTTGCCCCCACAAAGCCCGAACTGCGCCAATGCTTCCTATCCATACTAGTACATACCTGTACAGAAGAGTCTCGGGAACTGTCCAGATTTGTCGCTGATCGTCAACGGACAAGAATTGATAAGGTCCATGTCTATGGCCACGTAACCTGCATTGGTCTTGTCGAATGCGTTGAGTACCGGTCGAATTGCATGAGTCGATAGACAACGATGTCCAGTTGCCCGCAGGGGACAACTGCGCAGCTTGAAAGGAACCTATTTACAATCAAATAATAAAATCCAAGCACAATTAAAACATTTCATTCAAAGCTATAATCCGCGCTGATCCTAGGCGGGGGTCAGGCCCACCACTGGCCCCTCGTCATCAGAGTGATCGTGTTCTTTTCCAAGGCAGAAGAAGACGGGCTGTATGACAGGACAATCGCAATACGCCGTGGTAGTGGGCGTGGCGAGCGACACCGCGCCCGCCAGACGAGTTGCTCTCCCATGGATATTTGAAACTGAGTGTTAAGGGGACGAGAAAATTTGGTATTCGTACGAGTTTCGGTTCCAGTCGACAAACTGATGTACGCCGGGAATTTGCCGCGCATCGCCGCAAGGTACTCCGCGCGCGGCAAATGTGGCAAATTACGATTGTGTCTGTCCGACTCCCAAAAAATAGGGTAGGCATAATGGTACACCCGATCCCGCCCACTCGACCAGCGTAGAAAATGTGCCTCGGAGCATCTTTTCATTTTCAAATGGTACCTTTATCAAAGCACTCCACGCTCAGAGAGATGTCATCTATGGCCATATACGAATTTCTTTTTGCTGATGATGTCACTGCCCAGTTGGCCTCGATTTGTATGGCGAACGGGAATAACTGAAATGTAAAACTTCGTTTTGAGAGCCTTCACTACTTTTATAAAGTTAGGCTTTTGGGCCCTTTCGGTGCTCCGGTGCTATTTCGGATTGCAAGGGGCATTTTACACTTTTTGCTAGTTTCGTTCCTTTTGCTGAGTACACGCTAAACGACAGCGTTCACACCTGATTACGCTGATTGAAGCTATAGAATGACTGGGTCTGGTAACTTGCCAAGACTCGTTTAAGTGGTTTTTTGGTGCCCCCACCCAGTCGAACCGCGCCCATGTTCCTTCACTAGTCAGGTTTGCCTTCAGCCGGGAACAAGAATGCGGTAGCAAACCCGCCCAAGAAAAGAATGGTGGAAAGGGGCAACAACTTCCTCATCAGCAGGTCCACGCAAGTCATTATAGGGAGCTACCCATACATTCTGAGATACGGAATCAGCTCCGTGCCAATGATCTGCTATTTAGGAGTCGCACGTTTTTCAAGCGTGGGAAGGATCTCAGGGTTTCATTTGAGTATTTCCCAGTGTTATGGATGTGTGCTTTTGACATTTGCTCCTCCATAGACTGGACACGTTCCGTAGTTGAGGGAAAATTTCGCAGATTACAACTCTCTCAGAAGTTCTTCCCCTATTACGACCTCCCTTATCCCCACCCCACCTCCTACCTACCATCTTCCTTATTTCTTCGAGTTTCCCCGCCCTTTTTTCCAGAGTTTTTTTCAGAATTCCACTTTCTCCCCGAAAAAAAAACTGCCGTGAAACGGGAGCTGGGGAGCACATAGGCCCAGTAGACCAGGAAAAACCAAGGAAAGTCAGCAATCGACGACACTCTTCTATAAGGCAAATACGACTCCCTCCCTCCGACAAGGGACGTCGTGAGCTAGAATCTCCATAAACTGTTAATGCGGCTGTATGTTCTATTGCCCACCTTTGCCTTTTTTTTCCACCCACTTGCATGGTTCCCCTGCATCACGGTCCATGGTACGCGCGTCTAATGCTAAGAATCAGAAGCCGGGTTCTTTCTTGGGTGCTCTCTGCTGCTTCTTCTACCTTCTTCTTTACTGGTGTGCCATTTTCCACTTACATTTTCGTTCATGGAGCGCCCCATTTATGAACTGCAGTCGCGGAATGTGTTATTAAATGTGCATTCAAATGTCAGCACGGCCCTCGCCTTACGATCAAGTGCATGGCTCATCCTATCCTCTTCAAATTTCGGAGCTAATTCATAAAAAAACATCAAAGAAATAACAAACCATTGGTCCCAGTTCCGTGGAGATTCGATGCCAAGAGCGTTCGATTCTGTAAATTATTTTTCCTTTAAAAAATACACAAAAGGTTTCGATGGCATCAAACCGTTTTCCTTCTTCTTCCAAAGGGTATTCTCAGAGGCGCTGCTTTTTCGACCCACGATGGGTGAATGATCGACAGTGACCAGTGAACATCTACCCCTGCTTGAATCGCGTAGAATCGTAGCTGAAAATGGAAGTTCTACATGTTCAAAGGCAAACTGCACGCTCTTTGCATGGGCGGAGTCGGGCCTACCTTAGCATCTTCCCCCTCCGTTCGCCGAACTGCTGCCGAAGCCGAGTTGATTGTAAACGCCATAAGTAAGAACTTCCACTGTTCCGTCACATTGTACGGCGTTTTCCTAACAGCCGCTGGCCAATACTGCATAGCTCCACTGTCTTGGATTCCTCCAAATGCCAAAGTTCCAGCAAGCGGTTCGAGATTCTCAACAACGGCTCACTTCTTTCCTGAATCCATGCTCGAGCGGAGACCTGAACGAGTGGGCTTATAATATTACCGAAGAACTGATTAGATGCGATGATGATGAAATAGTCAGCAGAGCTGGGGACGGATACGTCGAACGGCACTGTCAAAGTGAAAAGTAAGCACTTCAGTTGCTGCTATATAACTTTCTACTCTTAGATCACGAGTTCAATTCAGGGAATCATCTTCGAATCAATCGGTGTTCCTTCGAAGGCTTTCTTATTTGGAGGAAAACTGTTCGTGTATCGTTCGATGTGATAATGGCGTAGAATTCTTTCGTTTTGCTGGTTGTCGATGTTTACGAGATGAGCTCACACGCACAGTCGTGAGCAGGCTTTGGGTTGTCGTGGTAGGGGACTGTCTGGACTTCCGCCCACACTCCCTTTTGATGATTGTTTTCGCTGTCCACAGACTAGTACAAAACTGAAAGCAATAATACCTTATGATGCTTATAATCAACGCCAGTATTCGTTGATCGGACCTGCTTGATCGCAAAACTGATTAGTAAGTCCTGCTTCGGTTATCTCGTAAGTATAGTGCGGCGCTCATACTGCTACCCCGTCGCGTATTCATATAGGGACGGTCGTTTTTGCGCAATCGCAGGAAAGTTAACATGTAGTGACAGGCAATGGTACGCGTCACTAGTACGCAGCTCAGCACTCACAGGCAAGTTACCGTAATCCGAGTTCGCCGTCAAACTCTGTGTGACGCTGCAGTGCCCCCAACTGCACCGGGCCTCACGCCTAAATATATTCTGGAAGCCGAAGGTCCCCAACAACATCTTATCACGTTATCTACGTCATCAGAGTGGGTTTTTTTTGGACGGGCTTGCCTTTGCTTTCCATGTTGAGGGGGCTTGTTTCTTTAAAATGTAGTGAGGATGGAGAACAAGGCTGCTGGTTGAAATCCTGAACACGCTCCTCATTTGGATCAGTATGATGGTATACAAATCACCCGCTATTAAGCCACTGTAGAAACTAATAATTAGTAGCAAACAGCGTGCGAAATTTGTGTGTCAATTTTCCGGCGTGGGAAGTTCGGGCGGCAGTCACAGTTTAAATTAAAATTAATATATAAAAAAAGACAAATTGGCACTATTCAACTTTAACTCCCAAGAACTCAAGAAAAATTTTCGGTCTGAAAACTTTAGCCACAGAGTAATTGGGTCCTGGTGATCACAAACCATAGCACTCGTTTTTCAGGCACGCAATTGGCCGCCAGTTTGGCGCCGCCACCTTTCTCACCAGATTTGTTGCTAAATTTGCCCCACAAGTAGGTTGTTGATGCTCCTGATCACGAGTCCGAATAAGTTTCAGGCTCTGACGCCCATTTGTCGCATTAGCGCCGATTTGGCTCCCGCATCTTTTTTTTCCATTCCAAAACAATGCAAACTGCAAAGTAGAGATAGCCCCTGTCACAAATATGCGCACCAGCGTCATTTAGAGCCACTTCTGAGGTTTGGAGCGCGCGCGAAAGAGTATTTGTCCAGGTTCTAGGCCAGCATTATCAAATTGCAGATGATCGTAGTGTCCTCCATTAGCGCCAGCGCCAGAAACGAATGTCATATTTGTAATCAGGATGTGAGATAACCCCATATACGAGTTTTCAGCGGATTTGGTGACTCGGGGCGTCTTTGGCGCCGGCGCCTGTGGCGCGGGCGTCAGGCAGCTTTAGGCTAAGCGGATGTGATATATGTGTTCAGGTAGAGGTCGAAGAACCCCTAGAAGTGAATTTTCAGCCAATGACCCTGAACCTCCTTAGAAAAAAAATCCGGTAAAACGGCCCACCGTCTTTGGAAATTGGCCGGTAGCATCGGGTAGTAATATTAGTAATAGTAAAAATAAACAAAAAACTTATGGGAATAAGTTGGACTGTGAAGATAGGGACATAGCAAAAAAACAGCGCAAAGATAACACTGCCGGGAAAAGATCTTCTTCATCAGCAACAAAAGCCGAATCGAAAAAATGTCCTTCTCAGGACAGAAGTATTGACATTTTGGTAAAGCCAATTTTGAGTGCTATTACTAGAAAAATGGCAATAAAACCCATTTTGAAAAAACTTTAAGATGCTTTTGGGGACACTCGGCCAATATATTTAGGCGTGGATCGCGGTGTAGTTCGGGGGAGGGGCACTGCGGTGTCACACCGTATTTCACGGCAAACTAGGATTACGGTAACTTGCCTGTGAGTAGGCGTTACAGTACACCGTCTACAAATTGGGACAGCTCGTCCGGACAGACACATAATGCTTCCGTGACTTTTCGCCAACACAAAGCCGTGAATTCGGCTTCGGTGCTAGTGCTTCCCAACCAGCTCATCCCCTAATAGCTACATAGGGAAATGCACTAATTCAAATTTTTGGACGAGTCGTCCTGCCTGTAAAACGTTTGTCTGTCATGCTTACAATTTGGTGACAAAGTGATCACTCCAAATGACGCACACCCGTTCATACTCTCCCACGTGTCGCGAGAAAATGCCAGTATTAGCGCGCCACTAACTGACGCGCGCACTTATGCGATAATTGAAACTTAACATTTCTAAGTGAATAGCGGGCTAGAGCGTGAGCCGATTATTGCGACAGATCGCCTGGAGCGTGTGTTAGCCGCAGACTTCCGCGATATACTTCTTTTGATGATGCAGATCAGGGGAGCTGTGTCTGGGAGTATTTACAGACAGTGAAATACCGTGAGAAGTAATTTGTGCAAGCAGACACGAATCTGACTTGCTTTTTGTATCCAGTCATTATATTCGAGCACAGATTATTATCGGTTACCAGACAAAACGTCACAACAAAACAAACAGAAGCAAAAACATGTCTGCTCTACATTTTTAAATCCACTTTCGTCTGAAGCCACTGCATTCTTCAACGGAAGTGAACAGTGGCATTCAGATTCTAGGTGCTAATAGGCCCATCAATAACGACATGCAAAGGGTACCTTCAAAAAACTTTTCAGCGGTTTTCTGTGCCAGAAAATGACGCGGCCTTCGTTTTTTGCTAATTTGTTTGAGTAATGTCGAGCATGATGAAGCGAAGAAACATTAAAGGCGCTCAGAAGAGGCTACCATGCCGACAAGGCTAACGGTACCTATGAAAAACAACGCCAATTTTCAAAAATTCACAGTTCCGTCAGGTTCACAGTGGGCGTCCTTTAGCTATCTTGAGAGTGGGCACATAATCAGTCAGTGTCCGCTGGCATTCTTGCAAAGCAGTGTCGTGTTGGAGGCTGATTGCAAATCCGCCTAAGTGCTTCGCTAATCTGCCTTGATCCTGCTTCGAATGACTTGAATTTCGCAGAAGGTATCTTTTCCTGGTTTAGGAGCGGATTAGATAGCTCGAGAATTCTTGGGCCATATTTTTTCTTCTTCTCATTCTTTCATTTTCGAACATTCCGCTGTACATAAGTGAAGGCACTCCTGATTTGAAAAGTATTTCCCCTCCCCTCAACTAGAGGTTTGCAAATCACGATGCCCTGATCCAGGGCTGGTTTGGAAAGTTAGACGATAAATCCAGGATGGGAGAATAATCAAACACTTCCTGCGATTTGCTTCAACTTTACATTAGTGTTTTTTTCTGTTTGTTTTCATACACTTGCATAGCTGATAGCAATCTCAGTGAAGTCGGGTGAGGTGTCAAAACCTTTAACGTCCTACGCGATGGAGGTAGTTGCTACGCCACAATTAAATGCATGAGGAATGGCTTTAGTACTACCGTAGCATAGAAAGGACGCGTTTGCGTCGCCTGATAAAATTGCTCAAGGTTGTAAAAAATCACGGGTTTTGAATATGGCAGGCTAGGTCCCCACTTCTGGGCAATCATTAGGCTCCCCGCGTCGCCAGTACGACTATACGATAAACGTCGTTGAAACAGCAGCACAGGCTTTGGCGTCCTGCCGAGTTCTGTACTTCGATGATATATCGACGACATTTTATCTGTCTGGAAATCAGCGGACTTGCATTACGACAGACATTTTTTGGGAAAAAGCTGAACGGGATGTGTCAATTTCAATAAAGTTGACAGCCGAGCGACCTCCCCCAGACGGTTTTCTCCCATTTCTGAATACCAAAGTGAAGATCTCGGACGGTCAGATCAACACCATGTGTGGTGAAGTTGGCCTCTAAGAACATTCCTCATTCACGGAGAAGGTCCATCTCTTTACATGGAAGTGAATGTAGTACGCCACTCGCGTTACGAAATCACACGAGCTGACTCCATCACGAAACAAATGGAGACAGAAGTGAAGAACATCTTGCGGCAAAACGGATATGAAAAACGGCAGCTCCGATGCTGGAGGCCTTTCAGATCACCTTATGGCACTCCACTCGTGTTACCTTTCATCAGCGACTCGTTCGCTATTGATGTTAATCGCGTCGTAAGACGATCACGGCTCCCTATAAGCCTGGTATTCCGACCACCTCTTAACTTACGACGACTTTTAACATCTTCGCGACCATACGAGAGTCGATGTGAAAGAGCTAACTGTGTGATCTGTGGAGAACATAAGGTGTGTCAGGAAAAGTGTGTGGTGTACAAGGTGGTGTGCCTCTCATGTCACGAGTTTTACATAGGAGAAACATCGAGGCCACTTCACAAGAGAATGGAGGAACATCTAAGAGCTTTGCGGAGCCCAACACACTACCCGGCAGAACCACTCTCGAGACACCGCCCACACTGAGGCACACTCAAAAAGACCCGCACGGAACTTCGCATCTCCATCGTACACAGAAATGTGGTAGATCCAGTTGAAAGAAAGGTCAGGGAGGCACTGGAAATAAAGCAGCAAGAATCACCCATCAACAGCAAGGACGGGCAGATGAAAGTGGCCAATGAGTTTTGTTATCGCTATTAAGGCGTGCCAACAATGGAGACATAACGTTTGAGGAATGCCCTAGGAGATCACCCTTGTC